GGTAGTACATAGGTAGAAAGGCAAGATCAGGTATGGGTAGGGGAAAGGGAATATACCCATGACTAGACATAGGTTTGGCAGGCAATATTCCTACATATCTATTTACAAGTGCTATAAAAATGTCCATATACTTTATAGAGCAACAGGAGACAAAAAGTTAGGATAACTTCTTAGCCACAACCAAGCACCCTGAGTGAAGGAGTAGTTGGCCCTATGGGCCTGGGACTATGGTCACTGGGGAAATCAAGTTCAATTGGCATAATACAATATCCAAACACATTGTTCTACATCCTACTTTGGTGAGTAGAGATGGGGGTCTCACAAGCCTGTGAGCAGCCATCTAAGATGCAATTATTGGTCTCTCCTCATCCGGAGCTAGAAGAGTGAAGAAAATAAAAAATGTATGGGAACAATTACTCCAAGTGACTAATGGACTACAGCAACCTCAGTCTATGTGACTCAGACCAGAGGAACTAGATGGTGCCTGGCTACCAATGCCAAACACTGGAAAAAGGATCAAAATTGGAGATCCTGGATACAGTGGGAGAAAAAAATGTGGATCAAGATTCAAAGACATAAAAAAGAACAAGATTACTGGTTAGAAAGAGACTGGTGAAAGCCCTGAGACTATGGCCCAAGTCATCCTTCCAACCTGAAAATGAACTCATTCCCATGACTCTACTCTCAGTAAAACAACAGACAGGCCTAAGAGGTGAATAACTACATCAGGGAGATGGATTGCTCATAACAGTCAACCATGGGAGATCAGAAAGGCAGTGTTTGCACAGAGAGAAATCCAGTCAGGCAGGAAAGCATAGGTAAGAAAGATGCAGGGAAGGGGTAATCACAGGGAGAAGGGAGGAGGAGAGCTGTGACAGATTGTATTCAGAGTCTTGAAACAAAATGTGTATGAACTGTTAATTGTAAAATGAACCTGCGAATCTGCTTTGTAAGACTGCACCCAAATCACAGTAACAAATTAAAAAAAAAAAAGTGTTAATAAACAAAGATGCCACTTTGAGGACTAAGGTGCACTTGACCCAAACCATGGTGTTTTTAATCACTTCACATATATGTGAAAGACGGACAGTGAATAAGGAAAACCAAAGAACTGATGCCTTTGGATTATGGTATTGGTGAAGAATATTAAATATACTATGGAGTACCAGAACAAACAAATATATCTTGGAAGAAGCACAACCAGAATACTCCTTTGAAGCAAGGATGACAAGACTTTGTCTCACATACATTGTGCATGATATCAGAAGGGACCTGTCCATGGAGAAGACATCATGCTTGATAAAGTAAAGATCACTGTAAAAGAGGAAGACCCTCAATAAGACAAACTGACACAGTGGCTGCAGCTATGGGATTAAGCAACAACTGTGAAGATGGTGCAGGTCTAGGAAATGTTTTGTTCTGCTCTATTTAAGGTTGCTATGAGTCAGAACTGAGATAATGACACTTAACAACAATGGTAGACATTTTCTAAAAAGATAAATGAAATGAGACTGTCACTTAAAATAAGAACATCTAATAGTATTTGTTGCCAATGATAAATTTTGATGTCTCAAGCAAATATTAAAATTTTTGAAAAATGTTTTTAAATGAAACATTTTATAATGCAAGTTTTTGATATGTGGATAGCTGAATTACTTAAGGAGCTGTATTTTTCCAAATGGTGGTACAAAATCATGCATAAATTAAAGATGCATTTTAAGTGCAAGAAAGACTAATGAATTTTAATTTAATAGACTATAAAGCTTTCTTTTATGTGGTTTCAGATTCCACAACACAAATAACATTTAATGATCTGTTACTTGTTGAGTTTTGGTGTAATATCACAGAAGTATATCCCCAATTATCTGAAAAGTTTATTAAAATACTCTTATTTTTTCCAAGGCACTTGAAAGGGTATTCCATTAACATATTCAGCTACTAACTGCAAGGTTAAAGGCTCTAGTGCACCCAGAGATTCCTTGTAAAAATGGCTTTGTGTCTACTTCTGAAAAAACAGTTATTCCTACCCCATGGTGCCTAATTCTGCTCTGACACATATAGGGTCACAATGAGTTGTGGTTAACTGAGCAGCAGCTATTTTTTGTTTATCTCTTCCATACACATATTTTGTGAGGCCAGGATTTTTTCAACTGCTTCATCAAAAGAATACGTTGGACAGATTGAATAAAAAAAGACTGAAGAATAGGGACGTTTTACACTTTGTTCCATATCATATAGCCAATAATCTGCAAAATTGGGCTTTAAGATCTATATTCTAAACTAATTCAGTATAATGCCTGTCTTAGGAAACATGGTTCTAAGTAAATTAACTTGGACTTAGGGGTTGTTGAAGGGAGCAGAGTAAAAATATACAAAAATTCAATAGGGCAAATTCACTTGCCCTATTGCTAATTACAAACAAAATGCCTTTTATTTTCCCACAGGTATATTGTTAATATTGTTGTAGGTATATTAACAGGTATATTAGATGTTAGGAACTCTGGTGGCACAGTGGTTAAGGCATTTACCTGCTAACCAAAAGGTTGGTGGTTGAAACCCATCAGCTGCTCCATGGGAGCTTGATGAGGCAGTTGACTCTATAAAGATTTGTTGTTGTTGTTGTTGTTATGTGCTGTTGAGTCAGCCCCAACTCATTTACAGCCTTGGAAACCCTACTGGGAAGGTCTACTCTGCCTTATAGGGTCACTATGCATTGGAAGCAACTCAGTGGCATTGGGTTATACTAGATGTTATATGGAGAGATACTATTAGTAGAACCTTTAAGCCATATATAGTGGTTAAAACCCAATAATGCAAAATGAGTATAAAATTAAATGGCATTGGAAGTAAATAAAATAGGACTTCTAAGAGGAAAGCACCAAAAAGATAAGGTTTAGTATTGGTCTGCAGATATGTAAAGATCACACTTTGATTTTTTTTGTTTTTATTTTATGCTCATACTTATAAACAAAAGATGTGTTTTATTTTTACACAATTAAAAATAGAAAAATGCATGTTTTTCAAAATGTCAAAATATCAGATAACTATGTAAAGCACTGAAAGTATACATCCTTTCCAATGGATTTACTACCTAGTAGCGCCTAAGGCATTTGACTGCTAACCAGAAGGCTGACAGTTCAAACCTATCAGCCGCTCCTTGGAAGGAAGATTGGGCAATCTACATCCATAGAGATACCGCCTCAGAAACCCAAGGAGGGGTCGTTATGAGTCAAATCTGACTAGACAGCTTGTTGTCGTTGTTATGTGCAGCCCAGTCAGACCGAACTCATAGCGACCCCTCGGGTTTCTGAGGCAGTATCACTACAGAAGTAGATTGCCCCATCTTCTTTCTGAGGAGTGGCTGGTGGGTTTGAACTACCAGCCTTCTGGTTAGCAGTCAAGTGCCTTAGGCACTATGTTACGAGAACTCCTTGACTAGGCGCAGTGAGTTTGTCTTTTTGCTTTTTAACTTCTCTTAAATCATTTAACTATCAGTTAACAGATCAGTGAGTATTAGACAAAGAAGGTAAGGAGTAAAGACCTTGTGTGTTAAAGAAGTGTTAGGAAAAACTGCTGTTAATCAATAATAATAATAATAATAATAATAATAATAATAATAATAAAGAAATAGAAACTTTTCTTTAAAATTAAGAATGAATGTTGTTGTTGTTATTGTTATGTGCCGTCGAGTCAGACCCGACTCATAGCGACCCCTCCTTGGGTTTCCGAGGCAGTATCACTACGGAAGTAGATTGCCCCATCTTCCAATGAATGGTAGAATGTAATTTAACTTATATTTATTGGGTTTATTTAAAAATATCAAGATCCATCTAGTGTGTATAGTGTAAGATACTACATTTTCATCTAAATAAAAAAATAAACAGATAGATAAAATAAAAACACCCAGTCTACCACTGTGTCATTGGGGCCAGAGATACATTTTAAACATGTTAGCTTGGCAGTCAATGCTCAGGAAACAATGGTACTCAATCATCTTTTTTACTTTTTGAAATATTTCTTTAATATGTACAATATTCCCTCTAGAGTAAAGGAAACATATTCGATTATGTGTACATATGAAAAGTTTTCATAATCTTATGTGGTTTTTCCTTCTAAGTACTCTTCTTATTTATAATATTCATTTTAGTATTTCAACACTATCTTCCCTGCTACACTGTCAACTCTTTGATAACAGTGCACCTCTGTTGATTCACCTTTGGGACATAGTGCATATTAAGATTTTAATATTTCAACTTATTTTAGTAGAATTAATCAATGTATTTATGTTTCGATAAGCAAGATTTTATGCTATCCTGTGTCTAGCCATCCTGCCTCAACACACACACACACACACACAAATATCCTGTATGATCTTGTCCAATTTGGATACTATGCTCCAAAAATCATCTTTTTTCTTTACTTTCAACAAAGAAAATACTTTTCTTAAGGAAAAAAAAAAATCCCCAGAAGGTTTTTATGCCTACCGCTGTCTCAAATGTGTTATCTCTGTAGACCCTTCATATTCTCACATTTGGAGATTTCTGTAGCCAGAAGCAGACTGGCTAAAGGCATTTGTCATCAGTAATGAAAACACAAGCACAAGGACAAATTATCAAAAGTGATATTGTGGAACAAAGAAGCATTTTAGCATGCTGAAAAAAAATACACACCTTTCATGATTGCCAGAGTATTCAGTTTTTAAACTAGAACTGATAGATGATGTTTTCTGATTATGCCTGACCAACCACTGATCGATCAATAAGATGTATCTTACATAGCACAAAACAGAAAGCTATTGTAAATAAACTGTTCCAGTTAACTGGAATATCACTTAAAAATTCTGTAGTCTATGACAAAGTGAAATGGAACGTGGAATGTGAAGAAAAATCAAAATGAAGGAAGTACAGTCTAACCCTGATTAGATGATTGCAAATGGAAAGTCTACCTTTTGGTGTGGTTATTTGAACAAGTTATTTGAAAAGTCACTGGTAATCTTTTACCTGCAATCGCCAATGTGATTTTTGTCCACTGCCTTGCTTGGTGTAAACAATCCCCAGTTATTGATTTCTATAACTTTTATGCAGCCTGTAAAATTCTTGACTGGTCCAGAAATCTAAAAAAGACAGAGAGAAGGAGAGAAAGATGGAGAATGAGAGGGAAAGAAAGATAATTTATATGATATTCTATAACGCATTTTCCTTGCAGCAAATAAGCCAGGGTGTGCTTTTGGATGGAGGAGGTGATTTGATTTATTCAATATATTGATAATACAATAATTCATTTCATATTTGGCATCCCAAAAATTAGGAAAAAATTACCATGTAATTAATCAACAATTACCTGGAATCAATATATTCTTATTACTGCATAAATTATTAAAATTAACTTATAAATGAGTAGAGAAAATTTAATATAGCATTTTTTTTCTTATAATTACAGTAATTTGTCAATGAAAAATAGAAATAAAAAGCTGATACAGTCATTCTTCCCATCATGACATAGCATTTTTCATCTTTTGTCCCTGTTCTTTGCCCTTTTTCTTTCAGATACCAGTCAATTATTTAGATGTTTCAGCTCTAGCTATTGAAACATTAGGAAATATTGCTCATTCAGAGGCAAACGAAATACAGGAGAAACAAGAAATATTTGTGACATCCTACAGCCACTCCTCAGAAGGAAAATTGAGCAATCTGCTTCCGTAGTGATGCTGCCTTGGAAACCCAAGGAGGGGTCGCTAAGAGTCCAATCTGAGTTGTCGGCAGTGAGTTGTGTTTTTTTTGTTGTTGTTGTTTAGAGCAATGATGGTTTCTGCATACCCTTTGTCTTCAATTCTATGGTCTATCCTCCTTAGGAATAACTTAGGCAAAAATGACATCCAGAAAAATTGCCAAGAAGTCAAGAACAAAAAAGAGAAGATACGGACACTGCCAAACATTTATTTTAATGAACAAAATAACTTCTTAAAAATGAACAGGTATATGGATTTTCATTTTTTTCACCCTAAGCAAACAATAAAAACCTGTTGTCATAAAATGGATTCCAGCTCTTGGTGACCCCATGTGTGTCAGAACAGAACTGTGCTCCATAAGGTTTTCAACGGATGTTTTTTCCACAAATTGGCAGGCCTTTCTTTTGAGGTGTCTTTGGGTGAACTCTTTGGCAGCTAAGTGCATTAACTATTTGCACTACCAGGGACTCCTAAACAAGCAATATTCCAACAGTAATTATACCTGCTCCTCAATATGAACTATCTCCTTATCCCACATTTCAGATGTATGAAAATAGTAAAAAAAAAAATCTACTTAAATCACCTTAAAGCCAGGTGAAGACCCATGGGTTCCGAATCAGAGAGTACTCCCTCCTGAGCCCTAAGTCCTTGATTTCTCTCCCCAATCTGTCAAAAAAAACAGAAACCAAACTCACTGCCATCCAGTGGATTCCTACACATAGTGACACCCCTTGGGTTTCTGAGGCTGTTAAGACTTATGGAAAATTGCCCCCTCAGCCTTCGTGTGGAGCAGCATTGGTTTTGAACCACTGACCTTCTGGTTGGCAGCCAACTACTTTATACACTATGCCACCAGAGCTCCTTCTCCTCAATCTTGGATGCCAATAAAGATAAAAGTTGTTGGGGGATGGGAGGGGTGGAGCCAGACCCTGGAGCCTCTGTCCCTTCAATTGCACATGTGCTCCTCAGCCTGCCCAAGTCCAGGATGGATGGGCAGGCTGGTGGCGTCCTGCCATCTCAGTCTGGTTTTGGGCTTCCAGGAAGTGAGAAGGCGGGAGAGGGGCACAGACAGGACTCACAGTAGTCATTTTGCTGCAGACCTTGTGATCCTCCATTTGCTCATTTTTAAGTATTTGAGCTTGTCATGGTATTACCGGGTGGGTGGGCATTCCCATGTAGAGTAAGAACTCTACCCGCGTGGGGCAGGGTGGGTCCCCTCCTGGAGGCAAATCATGACCCGATCAGCTTTGTGACTTGAAATGGCACAAACAAACCATCTGCCTTTCTGCCCACCAGAAGTACGGAAGTCAAAAGCAGGGTCAGCCAGCCACCTGCAGACCAGAGCTGCAAGGGAGGGAACACCCCACAGAACACCTCCGAAAATGACTCCTGAAGCCTGGGAAGCATGCCACTGAAGTTTCACCTAACACTTATTTTCACAAAATGATCTGGTCTTTGGAAACTAACCATGTCCTAAATTGGGAGGGTATATATATCTATACTAATTTACATTTATGTGGAAAAGAGAAATAATAAAATTGCAAAGGGGTACAAGTCAGAATTTAATAGTTAGAAATACACATCCATTTCAAATTCTTTCCTCTTATACTTTCAATATTACTAAAAATTTCTAGCTAAGATGAATCACCAGGGCAACCACTAAATTTACACACTGACAAGTTACCTAACTTGATACTTGAATTAAAAATACACACTAGCTGCATTCTGGCGAAGTGGTTAAAGCATCAGGCTGCTACCCAAAAGGTCAGAGTTCAAACCCCCCAGCTGCTCAGCAGGAGAAATATGAGGCAGTCTGTTTCCCTAAAGATTTACAGCCTGGGAAACCCTACTCTGTCTTATAGGGTGGCTATGATTCAGAATCGGCTTGATGGCAATGGGTGGGTTTACATTTTCAAGACTTGGTTTCTCATTAATTATAATAGTGCAAATAAATTAATGTTAGATTAAGGCCATTGCCTTGTTTAAAAAATTTTGAGTGAATGTATTTTTTTGTTTTTTAACATACAGCCTTAGTTTTAAAACCTTTATTTATTTTTCTTCTTCCTAATGTAGGCTCAAATGTACTGCAAACCCTTTTAACAAGTTATATTCCATCAAATGTCAAAATGACTGAACTAGAAAATAAAACAATATTTCACACAGTAGTTTACAAAGAAGTCAAGTTGACTCAAAGGAACACAGAAATATTTGCCTCTGACATGCTGCAGACTGGAAACTATTCATGTGTAATTATTACCCTAAATTTCTCAAGGGCTTCATTAAACTTTTGGGTTTTTAAATTTAATCTTTATTTTTATCATAATTATACATGAAACTAGTTTATTATTTTTAAAGCAAATTGATATCTACCTCTCCTGCAATATAACACACTTGTGAAACAGTTCAATTTATAATAAACGTATTAAAAAATGAAGTGTCATAGAATACTTTTGATTACAATGAATATGAATTTGGGAATTTTATTTTACATAATTCAGAAGTAACATAAAAATATGAGCATAAATAAATAAATAAATATTTTTCTCAGTTCATGAAGATTGTTACTGTCTATGACAATAGAGATTAAGGAGAAATTTATAGCTTATTAAATAGATATCAAATCACCAGAGAGTAATGAAAAGTACTCTAAAAAGGAAATGGCTCTGTGACTATTCTATTGAGATACTTATTAAAATTTTATGATTTCCTTCCATTCACCTATTCTTAATTTTTAAAATAAATATTAACTTATTAAGCATGGGCTTTGAAAAATGGCAGGAAATTTTTTCTACCACATTAGTCTTTAAATTTGAAGAAGTTCAAAATTATTTCATTTCTTGTGTTTTAATAGCCTTCCACTCTTCCAATTGCCTCACATATCACTTCTGGCAGTCTTATTTAGGATGAGTTATTCAGTCGCCACAACAAATTCACATTAAGTCCATTTTCACATTGAATATGAAAATATCATTTTACAAAAAAACATGACTGAAACTTGAACCCAGAAACATTGAGCCTGAATACTAAACACTGAACTCATGGTGTTTGGAACTTTTAATGTTGGGAGACTTCTTCCTCTCTGTTAGTTAATAGTAAACGGGTTGATTAGGTTTCCGAAACAGAATTCCTAAAAGCAAAAGAAGAGAAATAGATCCCACACAATTAATATAAAAAATTACAATGCAACACTATATAATAGATTCAAGAAACAAAAATCACCACTTTTCTAGGGTGAATCTATATAGATTATAGGAATAATGATATTCCATATTATTTTCTGGGAAAAAAAAAATTATACTGGCATGTGCTTGCTATGATTTCTCAAATCCAGTTCTTACTTTTATCTAAGACAAATAATGAAATAATTACTCAATTGTTTTCTCACAGCAAGAATAATATAAAATTAATGATATTTCTCAGTAATAATAACAAGAAAGTTCTCAATTTCATTTCAAACCTAAATTGTATGAAAGTTCTAAATACATCTTCAACATTTTTTTTTTTCATTTTTTTCTGCCTTTATACTAACAGAAAAATATATAATTTTCTCTTTGGGATTTGATGGAACTTTCAAAGAAAGAAAGTACAAGAAGCAGATATTGTGTCATACAAGATGTCTGGATGTGTTTCTATTTCTACTAGTTTCCTATTGCTGCTGTAACAGATTGATACCTAAAATAACAGATATATTCTTATTATTCTGGAGATCAGAAGTCTAAAATAGGCTAGCAGAGTTGTGTTCCTTTTGGAAGCTATAGGTGAGAACTTGTCTCCTTCCCCATTTCAGCTTCTAGAGGGTGTCCTCAGTCCTTGTCACATGGCTGTGTGTGACTGTCAGCTCTACTCACATGATCATACTGCCTTGTCTGATGCTGATCCTCTTGTCTCCCTTTAATAAGGTCTATAGCGATTACAAGGAGCTGTGGTGGTGTAGTGCCTAAAGCATTTGACTGCTCACCAGAAGGCTGGCAGTTCAAACCCACCAGCCACTCTTCGGAAGGAAGGTGGGCAATCTACTTCCGTAGTGATACCACCTCAGAAACCTAAGGAGGGGTCACTATGAGTTGGATCTGACTCGGCAGCTGTGAGTTTGGTTTGGTTTGCTATAGCGACTACAATGAGCCCACTTGAATAATAATGAATAATCTCCCCATCTCAATATCCTTAATTTAATCACATCCACAAAGTCTCTTTTACAATTTCAGGTAACATATCCTCAGGTTCTGGGAATTAGGAGGTGAACATCTTTGGTGTACAATTATTTTGTCTACTATACTCTTCTATTATCATATTTAATTCATAATTTAACCGAGAATAGAAAAACAGATTGCAAATAAATATTCTCCAGAATATTAAATGTTAAAGCATTACTCTATTTTTTTTTTCTAGTTTACATGTTGTTCCATCGCAGTCTGATGGTGTTGAGTTTCTTCATTCTTTGTGGGATCTATTTGTTTTCTCACTCTGAAAGTTCTTAGAATTTTCTCTTTATCCTAAGATTTCTGAAATTTCATAATGATATCAATGATATGGTTCTATTTTTATTCAATATTCAGGTGAATAATGAACTATAAAATATAGGTTGAGATTTGAAATAATTTTTTGAATTATATTTGTGATGATCACTTTCATTCTTTTTACTCAGAGCTCCTATTAAAGAAACTGTTACTTGTATGTTGGACCACCAGGAATGATTCTCCAGTTTTCTTTTTCTTCCCTTTGTTTTTAAAGAAAGGATCTCAAATTTATCTTCCAGTCTTCTATTGAATGCTTTATTTCAGTTATCATGTTTATAACTTATTACATAGTATTTTTTGTTCCTTCTTTTTGTTTCCCCCCTATATTGTATCGCTAAAATATCTTCCATTCTCTTTCTGAAGATGCTTTACAAAAGCTTAATTCGGCCTCTTACATTATCTATATTTAAGTTCTCTTTTCTACTTTATCTCCCTGCTTTTTGTTCTGTTTCATATTTCACACTTACCCCATGTGTCTAGGAAGTCTTGTCTTTTCCTTTAGTATTTAAAAGTGAGATAGATAAAAGGGAATTGAGAATTCTGCATACATATGTGAGTTTGATTAGAGGTTGGTTTCAGTATTGATGTAACTGAGCCACTTCTTTGGGGAAACTTGCTAAATAGCAATATTTAATACTTATCTCGTTAAATGGGCAGATTTTCTAGCGTAGAGGGCTGGAAAGTAAACCTTCAGCACTGTGCCAGGGTGTGAAAGCAGAGCGTACTGCATGTGGAAGGGAAGGGATCTAAGGAATTAGCTGTTTTTTCAAACATGCCTTGAAACAATTGTTTTCAACAAAAGCAAAACAATACCTTCTGAGACATCTGTTGCTCAATTCCTGAACTATTTTGAATTTCTTACAAACAAACAAATAATTTGTGATTATTTCCCCACTGGCTCTACTGTAGTTTTCTCTGGCTAGCTATGTAAATAACCACTTTTCCATCTGCTTTGTAATTTTCAGAATCCTTTCTCTCTTACTCTTTGTGGGTTTATTTCTCTTTCCACTTCAAGTGTTAA